GGAAGATGACTGGGATGTTTATGTTACATTGCTTTTAAAGACAAACACACTCAATGTCTTCTTTAGAGATCACAGAACCATCTTTTTATCCTGAAGGAAATTTGTGTAGATGAAGACATCTGAATGATAATACTAGCTTTGAGTCTCATTGATGAGGAGTATAACTGATGTACAGTGCTATGTGCATCCATCTTATGTGCTTTCTATTCTAAATCTCCATGAAGACTATCCTGCCTCTTTGCCTAGGAGTGTTTGTACTCTCACTTTTTCTCAGAGTACGTTTGAATTGCTAATAAATTAGCTGATTAAGTACTCAGTAATACACAGGATATATCCTGGGCAAGATTAATAAACTTTTCAGGATGAACTGAGAACTTTTCTGTGGTTGGTCTGTTGGAATGGATCTCAGATATTCAAAGACTGGCATTACTTCAGTTTCAGGCAGGGTAGAGTATGCTGGCTGCCCACCATAGGGGTACACGTATTCTCTATAGCATCATAATGTATCTGTCAACCTCAAACATATGTCCTAGATAACACAAAACATCTAACAACTTGGAAAGTGCTTATATACAAGTTGGTGAATTGTACCAATACCTAAGCATCTCTAAATCAGCTCTGATTTGAATTAAGTCACCCCCATGGAAAGCGAAGACAGATAGTGATTTGAAAATTGTTAATCATCTGTTGATGCAGCGATTTAGACAGGCCACCAGATGCCTATGCAAAATGCCCTTCTTTTCCATCAACTTTGGAAAGAGACCATGATGTAAGTCCTGTTGTATAAGGCATTCAAGAGACACTTCCTGGTACGTCTTCTATTGAAACACACTAGTACAGAAATCCACACCATTCCCTATTAAGGATCTCCAAAATTTATTTTATGGTATTCTGGGACTTCTCAGTAAAGAGATTTCAAGCAAGAAAATGTAAACAGAATTTATCATCAGATAATAACACCAAAGGGAATAGCTGTGAACAGACTGGAAGAGAATTTATGTGTGTCACATTGTCTGCTTGTATCTGGGGCATATTGTAATCATCATTATTTGAATTATTCTTTTCTTTCTACTCGACAGGCCTATCCATTATGAAAATTGTTATTGTTTCAATGAGAATACAAGTTGTTCTGAGTTTTGTGAAGTAGATTATAGCTATTGTTGCCAGTTCCTAAAATGCCTGTTGGGCATTACTATTTTATTCAGTAAATAAAGAGCTTAAAACAATAATTGTTATTTGTTAGAATGAACATATTTTAATCCCTTCTTCTTGTTCCTTCAGTGCAGAGTCTATCAGGCATTTTCTATTTCTATGTTTTTGCTGGAAGTACTACCAGAAAGCTGAAAATGCTTTAGCAACTGAGATATGAAGATGAGAGATGCCATAAGTTAGTGATGAAGGAACAGTTCATTTTGAACTACTAATTTCATCATCTGCAAGGGAAAAATGTGGGATTTAAAAGAGCCAAAATCACCAAGTACTGAAATTAGAAGCCAACCTCTTTAAAAATAAGAGCGAAAGCAGTCATCTCCCCTGCAGAATAATCATACTGGACTGCTGAGACAGTACTGTTAATTGGTAGCAGTATCACCCAGCTTCACTGAGATTTCCAGTTATGTCTGTATTCACTTCTTTTTATATTTGTGGGAAATAAGTATCTTAAGATGAAGATTTCGTTACTTAGAGGTTTCTACTCAAGCTTGCGTGCAATCTGGGCGGAGCTTTCCTCATGAATTGAGGAAGTTCCTAATATAGGAAATACGAATCTTTAAACAGTTTCTGTTTTTAAAGACAATGAATATTTTTTTACTTTGGCATCATTAAAAGGATGACCTCTTTTCTCCTTTCCTTTTTCCTTTTCTTTTTCTTTTCCTCTCCCCTCCTTTTCCTTCTCTTTTACCTTCTCTTTTCCTCTTTCATGAATAAGTGAGCGAGTCATTCAAACAGAATTAGAGAAAAAGCACGTGGTGTTAAACTGCAGGAGGAGAGGTCACAGCATTTCTATTTTTAGTTTTAAAAAAACAGGCCCTCCAATCTGTAGCTATAACTGTAGCTGCAGTGCACTGCACTTGAAGTCCAATTTTTTAACTATTTGATAATATTGAGTCTGAAAAATTGCTGGCATGCTTATTGTGATATGGAATTAATCTGTGCAGGTCTTTCAAAACACCGGATTAGCCTGCAGAGCATGGCTGTCCTTAACTGTACTATTGTAAATAGTTACATAACTGTGTAATTGTACTACAGTAAACAGTTGCAGCTTTACAATTAAGTTGCTAATTATGATGCCATTGAGTGTGAAACAGCCAACTATATCTCATTATAATGAAGTTTGGAGATTCCTTATGGTAGCGGGGAGACTCCATCACTTCCACAGTGTTTGTGGATGAACAGGGCTCCACAGAACTTTAGATGTTCCCATACAATGTACATGTCCTGACATGTATCAGCTCTGCTTCTCTGAGACATCTGTCTTGGTTCAGCACAGACGTAAATGCAAACAAAAAGCACAGAATGTCTACGCTCAGTTTCAAGGTTACGGTCATAGAAACATGCAAAAGGAGATATGACTGCACTTAGTAGTTAAAGGAAAACGACTCACTCTTCCAAAGGAAAGATTCAATTTATTACACAATGCACCTTCAAAATTTGGGGCCAACTGCAAAATTAGAAAAGGTCCTATCTATCCTGATGGATATCAAGTTGAACATGAGCTAGTAACCTGTCCTTGAATCGAAGAAGGACAAGAGCATGTTCTGCATTAGATGGAACGTTGGCAGCAGGTCAAGGGAAGACAAAGTACCCCTCTGCTCAGCATGGTGAGACACATCTGGAGCACTGTGTCTAGTTCTGGGCTTCCTGGGACAAGAGAGATAGACATACGTATGTCTAAACAATGCTCAGAACACGTAATTTCTTCACATATATAATTTTTTTTCCTGTTTGTGGATTAGGATGGAAGGTTGTTTGTTTTGGGAATGCTTTTCATGTGCCACATTTTTGATGGAAGCATTTTTCACCATCTAGTATAAATGTTTTGTCTTGTAAAATATTTTGAGGTAAAAATAGTTAATACTATTTATATATTAATTATTTTTACCTCAAAAGATGTTATTCATTACCGGTTAAGCATACTGACAGAGAGAAAAATAATGCAGAGCTTGTCATTAAACTACATTGAGATAAAACTGTTCTGAAAATGAACGTAGTTATTAATTTGTTTTAAAAGAAGACTTTAACATTGTCTTTACTTCAGCACATATACTTTGATATACATGCAGAAAAGATTGCTTAAAATTTTTAAATCAACCAGTCAAAGCATCTGAACTTGGATTTATAATGTTGGTAGTATCAGAATTCTACATGCAGAAAAAAAATGGCAGGTTCAATTTAATTTCAGAGTACAATATTGCTCTTTAAGCTTCTCACAGATTGCAGTGAAGAAGGAGCTGGGATAGAATATGTCAGGAAAACATCAGGGGAAATATATTTCTCGGTTGTTTTTGGTATCAGCTGTTGGCAGTGTGAAATTCTCATGGGATGATGTACCCTCAAGGTCCTGTTCTGTATTATTACATACAACATACAGGTACATTAGTCACACTGTCTTTCTTCAACACACACTGTGTGGTATTCAAATACCAATTAGCATTCTACATTAAGCAGGGAGCATCCTGGGGCTGCCTGTATTTAATTATTTTAGTGTGCTATTCTGTTTGATTAATCTAGCTGTTCAATTTACCTTGTGACATATTCTATATGGATTCAGTTCACTAAACTGAAGGTTATTTTCAGATTAAACACAGTCTCCCCGTGGGTAACGCTACTACAATGTGAGTGACAGAGGCAGATAATGTAGTATCCTACATGACCTTACTTTTTTCATCTGGCATGCTCCAGAATACTCACGCTTTTCTTTTGTCATTTCTAATTTCTCTGCTCATGTCTCAAGGTAAAGGTTCATTTGTAATTTCCTGGTTTTACTTTCCCTGCATTTAAGACTCCAGTTGAATTCAGTAATACAGCCTAATGTACTGATGGTACCTCTCAGGACAGGTACTTCAGAATTCAATTTAGTGCATCTAAAGCTTCATCATAGGATAATTTGGCAGGATCAGACTCATCATAGTGTTTCTATGTTACAGTGCTCTCTATTTTTGCCCTTGTGCTGGAGGTGTAGCACCTGTGACACTGAGCATAGCACAGGACATATGCAAGTAACACCAATAAGATAAGTGAAAAAAGGGTTATGGAACAATACCACAGAGAGGATGAATCAGTCTCCTCCTGCTCAGAAGAAAGAAGTGTAATCTTTATGTAGAGATGATCTCCACATTAGCCTAATAAATACCTTTCCCTAAAGGACTTCTCCATGTAGATTGGAAAAACTACTAACAGCTGGGAGGGGAAAATGCCAGTACTCAGTAACACCCTCTGAAAAATGGCTCTTAAGGGCATGTCTCCATTGAGATGAGACTTGTTCAGCCTGTGATGAGAACAAGCAGGATGCCATACAGCTGCAACTCAGACACCAAAGTCATTGAGCCATGATGCAGCATGGGGCTGAAGGGAGCCACTGAGGCTAGGTCCACACTAATCTCCTCTGAGCCACCTGGGGTACCAGGGATGCTTTTCATAGAATCATAGAAACGTAGAATGGCCTGGGTTAAAAAGGACCATAATGATTATTGAGTTTCAACCCCCTTGTTATGTGCAGGGTTGCCAACCACCAGACCAGGCTGCCCAGAGCCACATCCAGCCTGGCCTTGAATGCCTCCAAGGATGGGGCTTCCATAACCTCCTTGGGCAACCTGTTCCAGTGCTTCACCACCCTCTGTGTGAAGAACTTCCTCCTAATGTCTACCTAAACCTCCTCTGTCTCAGTTTAAAACCATTCCCCCTTGTCCTATCACTATCCACCCTCGGAAACAGATGTAAACAGTCCATTGAAATGTTTCTCCAGTTTATCCAAATATATGTTGTAACACCAACAAACTTGCCTTGATTCCTCTCTGCTGCCTTCCTCATGCCAGCTGTCCTTTGCTTTTCCTGTCATGCTGGCTGTGGAGCTAGATGTGTCACATTCAACAAATTTCCCAAGTCTGGCAACCAGGAGAATCAGTAAGTACATCTTATATTCCTTGGAAAAAGAAACTGGAATTGGTCCCATGTAGCTCTTGCACTCCTGAAGGCATTCTTGGTGTCCTAAGAAATGTGGAGAATGATTTTTAGTTTAATAATTAAATATTTGTGAGGATTAACTTTTTGATGTATTTTTTTTTAATACTAATTTTTAATAAAAGTATCTTCCAAAACAGAAAGAATGTTCTCACTTCTTAACACTTTTGAATATATGCAAACGTAAAACCTCTACAAAAACAAAACAGGCAATGTACAAAGCAGATGTCATAGAGAATGTGCTTTAGTGGCATAAACTTGTGTTCTAAACCTAGAGATATTACTGTTAAAGGACAGGAGATCACCTTATACCATTAGCACGGAGGGAAAAAAATGAAACACTGAAAAGTGTTCACAAACACAGACTAAACTTGTGAGGGAAATTTTTGATTTCTATTTTTTATTTGAAAGAGAGTTTTATTATTTAAAGATTGACAATATCAAGACTTCCTTTTTTTTCCCCCTGATTTTTTTCCATGTCATCAAAATTACTTTCTATTTCTACTATTGTTTCACACATGAGTGTTTTTTAGTGATGACTGAAAGAATCCCAGAAGCTCTCTGGATGAAAATTTTGAATAAAAATTGTAGCTAGATGATGAAAAAAACAACAACACACAAACCAGATTTTCTTGAAGTTTTGCAAAACAAAAACACTCTCAATTCTTCACCCAAAATGTTTTCAGTACTTTGACTTCTTCCTGTGTTAATGACAGTCAGCTCTGTATGAGCACACAGATTAAACTGCTCCTGTAAACTTCCTTGTACTGGCTCTTTTTTTCTACTCTGACAGAAAAAAGAGGTATACAGAAATACTAACATCTATAGAAAATACAATACAGTTACAAACTGTACAAGAAAAGGAAGTCACTTGTAAAGCTAAGGATAAAGTGAGAAGTATGTTTGATTTCAGCCAGCAAAGTAATTGAAAGTTCTAAAAATACAGTCTAGATAGAATTGAAACTGAAGTTGGAAAAAGGAAAAAGAAGTGCAGTTTTGTCTTGATGTCTTACCAGAGTTTGAACTAATGGACATCTTTAACAATTTTAGCTAGAAAATCTGTGTGCGGCTTTCCCTTGTCCAGCCCCCATATTTTACCTCTCCTTAAGACTTCTCCATTAATATCCAGAACTTCCTTATCTTTAAACAGTGTTTAAGAGATGTACCAGAAAAGAATGTACCAGAAAACAACCAGTCACTAGGAAAGGCTTTTTTCCTGCCCCATAGATGGAGTGTGGCATAGCTATAACACAAGCTCAAACAACTGCTTGGGATACCTCTGATCAGCCTCAAGAAACCTACACCAAGATAGAGATATGTTCAACATGCAGGAGATATTATTCTACTGGTAGTAATTTGGAGAATATGTGATTCTGGCAGTGTTTCTCACTAAAACAAGAAGATGAACATTAATAAATTATTAGGTTGTATTGTACAGTTTCTGTCCTTGTTTTCTTGTTTGCAGTTTCTGTCTTTCCCTTTTATTCTTTGACTACAGCCTGTCTACATTTGTTTCTGTTTCTGAGCCACTTTCTGCGTGCACATCTCCAGTAATGCATGCTCAGTATTATTTTAGTTCTGCATAAAAACCAACATCATTTCTGCAGATTTAAAATCAGGACCCTGCTTCCCCATTTACATGAGTTACACTAGAACAGAAAATCATGAAACAGATAATTCAGTGAAGAGCTCTAAGCTTCAAGCAAGACACAATGTCCTTTTTCACCTTCTTGACTCTCTAAGGTTTCTGTCACCTTCAGTGCTTTCTCTAGCTTGCCAGGGCATATATATTTTACAGGTTTTCCCACAGTGTTATTTTCTGAGTAACGTCTTCACTGAAGACATTTAACTTTAAGTCATAAATGGAGACTTGTTGTTTTTATTATTCTGTAAAAGTCTTTTGTCCACTTTGTTTAGCATCACGAGCCCTTGCCTACAGTGAATTCCACTAGCACTACAGCAAAAGTATCACAGCCAAAAACTCATATTATAAGTGAACCTTAAATAAGACTGTGGACTAAGCCATGCAAAGACTCAGTGGTGTTCTTTCCTGCTTTTTGCCAGTGTCATTTAAAAGCAGTGCCAGAGTATTTCTCACTTAAATTCTATAAATATAGCTCTTTGAACATGTTCTGTTGTTGATTTGAAATTTAAACATTTCATTTATCTTCCCATTAAAACAAAATCTTGCAGACTCCTCTGGAATGGAACATGCTCTGAGACAGCTTTCCATTGTGAAGGAGAAGAACAACTAAAAGAGAAGAATGTTTTTCCTAAGTTGAGACTTGGAAATTATTTTAAATGGCATTGTTTACTGCAGTGAATAAGTAAGGACGTTTCTGCATTCAATATACTCTGGCAACTTCTGCTTGAAAAGCTTTTTTTCTGAGTCACTGAAATGAAGGACAGGATTGCTACTGATTGAAAAATGAGTGGTAACATTCACAGAGAATCTGTCCCAGAGCCTGCTGAAGCCGGCAGAAAGCATTACACTGGCAGCACTGAGAAAGGAGATGTTTCCCCACTGGATCACTGCTGAAATACATCTGGAGAAGGGCTGTGGGTGTGGGACACCCCTCTCTCCTTCTTCCAGAGCATTCAAGCCTTCTGGGAATGTCCTTGAAGAGATCAAAGTCTGCTAATCTCTGAAAAGAGCAGAAAGAATCAGGAAAGTGGGGAATTTGAATCCGGGCACTGAGACAGAACAAAAACCTTCGTCAGGTTTTCCTTCTTCTTATGGCATGCTCTTGCTGTTCCAGAGCACTCTCATTATTCTCCATAAAACACAAACAAGCCACACTGAAAGCATTGGGTTGCTTTCATAAGGAAACAATTCCAAATCCTGCATCTCTCTCTCTCTCTCTCTCTTTTTTTTTTTTTTTTTTGCTTCACTTTCAAAATAGTGCAATCCCAATTTGGCAACTCCTATCCTTGAAGAGTAGGCAGGAATTTCTTAGTTATAGTAATCTCCTTTTCAAAACGAGCATTCACTTATTGCTTCTATTATTTGCCTAATTTCCCTATTCCCAGAACAATTTATATATCCATCTTGAGTGCCAAGACACTGTGCATGAGCAACTGCTTACACTTTAATGAGTACAAATGAAATTAAAAACCTAAATGCTGCATCTTGTTTCAGATTATATTGTAAGCAGAGACCATATCTTTCTGTGGTGGGAGTCTTCTGCCAATTCGAGCCCAGTTCATAGAGAATTTTAATTTGCAGTGGTAAGAACTTAAGGAAAAAACTGTATAGGAAAGTTACTACATTAAATATATAAGTATGGGAAACCGTATAAGTCAGTGAATATGATTCTGTTTTCTTTAGTTAGTAGCTCATTAGCAATTAAAAGCATAACATCTTAAAATCACTGAGTTGGAAGGAACCCTTAAAGGTCATCTAGTCCGAAGTAACAGTGAGAGATGATGTCAGGTACTTCTATGTTCTATGTAAAAAAAAAAAAAATAGGATTATGGATATTTCTGCTATGTCTGAGGTCTGATTTTCAGAGGTGCAATTGTTCCAGAATGGAATTTATTAAGATGAATTAAACTAAATTTGAGACATCTAAAAAGCCTCTATGTCAGCTACTATTTCTCACACAAATGTTTCTTCCATCTGTCCTTCAGAAACTGTTCTTGGAAAGACAAAAAGTCCTTATATAATTTTCCTAATTATAGAATTGCATGGCAAAGTATTTTACACGATCCTGTTATGAAGCTCCACCCTGGAGAAATACTAGAAAGCTTTTTGACAATTCCAGTGTAAATGGGTCAGAAGAATGGCCACAGTAACAGCAGTCAATGTGGAGAAGGAAAGCTATTTCACGCCAAAATTAACAGAAAACATTCATTTCAAAGTAGACAAGGCCAACTTGTTTTGAAATTCATCTGTGGATTCAGTAACTAATGCATCTAACAGCTCCTGTACATAACTGTGAAAATAAATATAACTATTTCCCATTTGTAACTAGATACAATTAGTTCAGGAACTTTTGGCAATTCCCAAAACTTGCAGTTGAACCATTGGCATGAACAAATCTGCTTGGGGTCACAAGTAAGATCCAGCACTAAAACCCCATTGGCCCTGTTTAATTTTGAGGTCAAAGTATTTTCATCTCCTTGGAAGCAGGAGAGGGAGGAAGGAAAAGAGGAGACAGTAATTTGTGGTAGGCAGTGCTTTTGTTTCATTAATTCATAAAGGACTGATGGTTTAAGGAACGTAGAATCACAGAACTACAGAATGGCTTAGGTTAAAGGGGACCATCTAGTTTTGAACCCTCTGCCATGGGCTGGGTGCCCACTCACCAGCTCAGGTTGCTCAAGGTCCCATCCAACCTGGCCTTGAGCACCTCCAGGAATGGGGTACCCACAACTCTCTGGGCAGCTGTGCCAGGGCGTCACCACCCTCTAAGTAAAGAATTTCTTCCTGATATCTAACCTAAATTTCTCCCCTTATCCTATCAAATAAGGTCTTAGAATTACCGTTTACATATATAGTTCTTAATAATTTGCTCAGATGGGCTAATTGCATATAGATATTTACAATTTTTTATGTACATCCATTATATAAGACCAAACATATTTAATCCCAAACATTTTGGAATGTGCTGACCATCATTATCAGTGATGTTTCTGTTCATGCAAAATAATAATTATCCAGTCAAATCTAACCTACTCACTCTCTGAATAGTTTTCTTTTGACAAAGAACTAAAAAATTAAATGATAGCTCCCCTGCTTTGCAGAGCTGGAAAACTGTGCTTTCAAACAACCAGACATCGTAGACCTGGTGGATCCAACAGTTCAGATGACTGGAGCACATGATGCCGTGTTTATAAGCATCCATTGGAGGAAGTCCTCATTTGAAAACAATTCATGGGCTGAGAAATCCCCTCAGTGAAAGGCTGCTGGCATGACTCCCTCGCGGGGTCACATGGAGAGAGCAGTGGACGCACCTTTCCCCACTCCCCCCGCAGCAGCTGTCATGGGAATGATCAGCTGCCTGTTACACGCATGCATGCACATC